GCGGAGGGCAGTGTCACTGGCCCTCATATGTGGGATCCGAACCGGGGCCCTCTGGCATCCCAAGCGAGTTCTTAACCATCGCGCCACTCGGCCGGCCCTTGACTGATTTTTTTTAAGTTAAACAAACATTGTTTCTTGGGATAAATCTCATCTGGTTGTGGTGTATAATCCTTTTTATATGTTGATAAATTTGGATTGCTAGGTTTTTGTTGAGGGCTTTTGCTTTTATATTCATAAAGGATTTTAGTCTGCTATCTTCTTGTGATATCTTTGGCATCAGGGTAATATTGGCCTTGTAGAAAGAGTTGGGAAGTGTTTCCTGGTTTTCTATTTTTTGAAACAATTTCTGAAGGATTACTCTTACTTTAAACCTTTGATAGATTTCATCAGTGTAAATAACTGGGCTTGAGATTTTCTTTTTGTGGAGTGTTTTGATTTGTGCTTCTTAAAACTCTTTTTTTTAGAGCTGCCTATGGAAAGCTTATGTCACACTGTAAATACTGGCTTTATCTCATGATAATGGACCTGAACAAGATTATTCACTCTTTCTTGTTTTCTTTTTTAAACATTCTTTTTTCTTTTTTTTTTTTAATTGGGGAACAGTGTGTTTTCCCAGGACCCATCAGCTCCAAGTCAAGTAATTGTTTCAATCTAGTTGTGGAGGGTGCAGCTCAGTGGCCCATGTGAGGACTGAACCAGCAACCTTGGTGTTATGAGCACTGTGCTGTAACCAACTGAGCCACCAGGCTGCCCCCATATTCACTCTTTCTTTATAAACTTTTATTGTCTTTGCTTTCTTAAAATGAACATGTATACTTTAGCAATTAAAATGTTAAAAAATAAATTGTCACAAGATAACAAAAAGAAAGATGAAAACAAAAAGTCCCAAAACTTACTATCCTTTCAACTAGAAGTATTAGATATATAAATATTCTGTAATTACCATTTAGAGTGAAGAGAAATTTTGGTCTAAATTAGTAAAACACAGATTTATAAAATTAATCTCTGAAGAAATTTTGTTTTTATAACCTAAGGCCTAGTAAAGTGTTGCTAAGTACTAAGATATATTCAAAAAAGAAATTAAGAAAACAATCCAGTTTACAATAACATCAAAAAGAATAAAATACAAGTAAATTTAACCAAGGTGGTGAAAGACCTATACACTGAAAACTATGAAACATCAATGAAAGAAATTGAAGAAGACATAAACAGAAATACTTGTATATCCTGTGATCATTATTAGAAGGATTATTATTGCTAAAATGCTCATACAATGTAAAGCAATCTACAGATTAAATGCAATCCCAATAAAAATGCCAATGATATTTTCCACAGAAATTCAAAATTCACATGGAACCACAAAAGACCCCAGTCCAAATAGCTAAAGCAATTATGCACAAGAAGAACAAATCTGGAGGCAAATCTGGATTACATACATAGGGCCTGACAATTAAGTTCGCAAACTTGTTTTTAACGATGTTGCTAACCTTTTTTGATATTAGAGGGATTATTCATTATAAATTTGTACCAACTGGACAAACAGTTAACCAAGTTTACTATTAGGAAGTGCTGAAAAGGCTGAGTGAAAAAGTTAAATGACCTGAACTTTTCACCAACAATTCATGGCTCTTGCATCACGACAATGCACCAGCTCACATGGCGCTGTTTGTAAGGGAGTTTTTAGCCAAAACAACTGAACTGTATTGGAACACCCTCCCTACTCACCTGATCTGGCCCCCAATGACTTCTTTCTTTACCCAAAGAAAACGGAAATATCGAAAGGAAGACATTTTGATGACATTCAGGACATCAAGGGTAATACAACGACAGCTGTATTATGGCCATTCCAGAAAAAGAGTTCCAGAATTGCTTTGAAGGGTAGACTGGGCACTGGCATGGGTGCATAGCTTCCCAAAGGGAGTATTTTAAAGGTGACCGTAGTGATATTCAGCAATGAGATATGTAGCACTTTTTTAGGATTTTCTAGGATGAGTTTGTGAACTTAATTGTCCGGCCTTATATAAGACTCTAAAGTTATAACAAGCTAATTTGAATTTCTACCAACCTAACTTTAATTGCATACAGAAACTCTATTTCTGTACAGCCCTATTTCCTGCCTCTGCTTTGTTACTGATGTCACAGGTTACATGTTCATAATTATATTCCCACCAACAGAGATTTATAATTATTTTTATATTAGTCTTTTGAATTCTGTAGGAAATAAAAAGAGGAGTAATAAACCAAAATTCTATAATAGTGATTTTTATATTTGCCTATGTATTTGCCTTTATTGGAGATCTTTATATCTCCATCTGGCTTCTAGTTATTGTCTAGCCTCCTTTCACGTCATCCTGAAGGACTGACTCTTTCAGAATTTCTTCTCATAGAGGAGCTATAGTGGTTATGAACTCCCTCAAGCTTTTGTTTATCACAGGAATGTATCTTCTCCTCATTGGACATTTCATTTTGGGGGGTGGGATGGTGGAGGTGGCAGCATTTCCTTTTCACCGCCTTCCTAATGTCATCTACATATATCAGATCACAAAGTATGCATTATCATTTTCTTTCTAGGTTTTTGTTTTTCTTCAGGTTGGGGTGGATGTTGTTAGTACTTTTTGATCTTTTTGCAAATACAAGAACTGTATGATTTTTCTTTTCAGTAAAAATTGAACCACCTAATGTTAGCAGTGTGAAACCAGTGTTGGGCATCAAGCGAATGGTTCAAATAAAATGGAAAAGGCCTTTGTTGGCACCTGTGTCATCTGCTTTAAACTACATGCTTCGATTCAGAACAGTAAACAGTGCCCACTGGGTAAGTTATACCATTATAATATTTCTATTAGAGGGCCCAAAGAAGAGAATTACTGACAACTTTTGTTGACCTGGAATCATTTTTTTTCTTTTCTATATTGAAAATAGAAGATAGAAAATAGTGAGTACTTTTCTTCCCAGTTTCCCATTTGGACCTTTGAGATTGGAAAAGTGTTTTACTAGAGTCATCCTTCATTTTGAGCACATGAACATATTAAAGAGTGAGAAATTTACTTTTGCATTCCATCCTGGTTTGTATCTAGCTATGTTGGCTGCCAGAGAGTCTATGGCTTGGCCATTTCCTTTTTTAGTTTTCCAATCTTTTGTGCAATTGGGATATATAATACACATTTAGAAAAGTGAACAAAACATGAATGTTGCATGTAATAAATTATTATTAAGTCAGAGCTCATGTAAAACTCACCAAGGTCCAAAACAGCATACCAGGACCCCCTGCCTACCCTGATGACAGTCCCCTCGTCCCCTTAGAGCTGTTATCCTGATTTTCTTGGTAATTACTTCTTTGCTTTTTTTAAATTTTTTTTATGGTTTTAATATTAAGCCTGCATCCCTGAACAATATAGTTTGAGATATTATATAAATGGAATCCATACATTTTTTACTTTTTTTGTTTGGCTCTTTCAATATTGTGCTTTTAAGATTCATTCATGTTATATAATATTGGAGTTTATACTTTGCATTTCTGTGTAGTATTCAATTGTAGAAACACAATGGAATCATGGCTTTAGTTTGCATACACGTGACTTTTAATGAGGTTGCATACCTTTTCATGTGTTTATTGGCTATTTGGAGTCTTCTGTGAAGTGTTGATTTAAGCCTTTTGCACATTTTTTTCTATTGGACAGTGTCTGATTTTTTAAAATTGACTTAGGAATTCTTTATGTATTCTACTTATAAGTCTTTTGTTATGTGTGTTGCAAATATCTCTTACTATATAGCCTGACTTTTCAATCTCTTTGGTGCCTTTGGGTGAATAAAACTTCTTAATTTTAGTACTGTCAAATTGTATCCATCTTTTCCTTTATACTTAATGCCTTTTGTATCTTAAGAAATTTTTTCTTACCTCAAATTTCAGAAGATATTCTCCATCAGTGCAGTCTGAAATTATACCTATTTTATAACCACCTTACTTTATTAACTCTTAGCTCCTAGCCAATTAAATCAGTTAAATATTTAAAATTTCCACTCTCCCCCCGCCACACACACACAAGATTTGCTAGTAAAACATATCTTCATTATCTTAGAACTTGTTGGTTTTTAACCTAAGTGCAGGTATTTTATTTAATCCTATTGAATTTATTCATGTTGGTCTTATCTATCATTTCAGCCTATTTAGAATCTTTATTCTAACACCCAGAACTTATAATTAACTTTCTACTTTCCAACTTTCAATATCTTCAGATTTGATACACTTTTCTTCTGTACCTTAATTTAATCATTAATAAAAATAGTGACCACATCAGGGCCCTGTGGTAAACCAGTAGAGACCATCCAGACACATCAACCTCTCCTTCTTTGAGTACTGTGATTTATGCAGACTTCTTTAAATATATATATCTGTCAGCCTCCTTTTTTCATTTTGTCCATGTGGCTACCACTAGACTTTTTTCTTTGCTAAAACCCATAGATACTATGTTTACTGAATACCCTCCTAGTCTAGAATATTTCAGAAAATTGGTTAACTTTCTCTTGTCTTGTGTTCAAGATGAGAAATAATGATGTCCACTTCTTCCCTCGGCTTCCTTTCTACGCCAGCTCTGAAACCATTCTCCTAAAACCTGGCTACATGTAACATAAGACTCACTGATTGGTAGTTTCTGGAAACTCCCTCCCTTAGAAGGGAACCCCGAAGCAGGGCAGTTCCTGGCTTATCTTCCTTCATGTTACACATCATAGTCTCACCGGAGGAGCTTCTTCTGTGTAGTAACCCTTGATTTCTTCTATTTGTTTGGGCCCTGAGTCCTGTGGCTGTTGTGATAAGAGTCAACAAGAAAAATAAACGAGGATTTATGTCATTCTGGAAAATTGCTAAACCATGCAGAACACTAAGTGAGACCAGCAAGTGTAAAGCACCCCAACTTCCAGCATCCTGTACCCCACCTCCTTGACAAGCTCACCTACGTTTACACTCATCTTTGTTTCCTTCCCTCTAGTCCCTGAGATAAGAAGTCCTTCCTGCTCCCTGGAGGAAGTGGGAAGGAAAGTGGAATGTGCAGCTAGCTAGTATGTCTCTCCATCCAGTTTTCAAACACAATGAAGTCTACGCAGTTCTAAACCCAACTTAGTCGACCCGACCTTCTTCTGTGGATGTTTCTCATTATCTATGGAAAAAGGTCCGCATCCTTAGACCTCCAAGACCTGGCCCCTGTTGATCCCTCCAACCTCATCTTGCATCTTGCCCTGGCCCATCTACTAATTCTGAATTGCTAGTTTCCCTTGCATCATGTGGCTTCACTCTTTTGTGCCTCTGCCTAGAACACCATCTGCTTTTGTACTATACTCCTGCCCCAAACCTTGCTAAATCTGTTCATCTCTCAGAACTCAGTTCAGACACATTTCCCTCTGAGAGTCTGAGCTAAGTACTCCTCCTCTGTCATTACATTTGACACTCAGTGTAGTCATTTAAAGCCGTCTCTCCCTGCATTAGGCTATAGGTTCCTCAAATACAGAGACCTTGGTGTTCATTTTTGTTTTCTCATTGCTTGGCACACATATGCAATAAATGTTTAACTAAACTGAGCCATATAAAAACTAATTCTAAAATCCCAATATGTCCATATAGTAAGATTCATATTTGTATGACGCTATGTGAGTTACAACATACTTTCTTATACTCCAAACTATTTAATCTTTGCAAATATCCTGTAAGTGAGGCACCACTATTTTTAGTTTTATAGATTAGGAAATTGCAATGTAGAGAGCTTAAATCACTTCTCCAAGGTCACAATGTTTGTAAGCTGCAGATCCGAGTCCAAGTTCAGGCATTCATTTGACCGTACTTGAGCAATATGGCCCTAGTCTAAATGGATTCCACTTTTATAAATTGGAACCATATGCACAATCTACAAAAGGATCTCAAGACTGCTTTAAGAGTTTAGTTTAGGCTTTGCACCAAAACTTCTGACTCATCTCTGAAGACATAAACATTTTGGGTGAGCCAACATTTGGCACAAAATATAGATTGTTAGAAACAAACCTGATGAAGTTAATTAATGTTTTGGTTGGAGTCTGTTGTCTGTGTTGAGTTGGGAAAGTTTTAGATTTAAGCCTGTAAATGGAGGATCAATTGATCCTGGACTGTGCATGAGCCAAAGTAAAAGAAGCCTTAGAGGCACACTGTGTGAAAGACTGAGCAGCTTTTGTTTCCTTTGAGGCTAGGGCTGAGAAGAACAGGCTTGCATAGCTGCGTTAGGCAGAGCTTTCTGAGCACGAACATGAGGAGACCCAGCAATCTGGTCAAACTTGTGCTGAGGGTAACTAGCAAAACAGGAGGAAAACTTAAAAAGATTAAAAATAAAATAAATATTATATATTTTTAAAAGCATGTCAAGTAAAATAGAACTTTAAAATAGAACTTTACTAGACTTCCTTGCCCATATTTTATGGATTAATATTAATTTTGATTTACATATGATCAGCCTTCTCCCCCTAAAGGTCTTAATTTGGTGCATACTGGGCCCCATAGCTAAAGTAGGTTGGGCATGCTACTGCCCAGAGATGATGGATTGTCTCAAGTTATGTCTCCAAAAACCTCTTCTGCCATTGCAACATCTCCAGGGGCTGTTGGTGGAGGGTGCGCAGGGACCTGGGGTTCACCAGCCAAACTGCCTTCATGTCTAGATCCTACTTCTTTGCTCCAACCCCACCTCACTCGGCTGGGAGTTCAGAAGCATCCTTCTGGAGCTGGGATGCTCAGCTCGTTGCCACATATACCTATCCTTATTCGGCCCAGTTATAGACCAAGGACCTATAATTATGTTCTTAATTTCACAGCTGTTATATACACATTAGAAATATCTGGACTTCCTTCTCTCACAGGGTTCTATGGGGCTAGTGTGCACACTCACAAAATGAGCTATTAGTGCAGTTTATTTTTACTAATCAACTCAATAGAAGTTAATATAAACCAACAGCTGAAAGTTCACATTGAGAGAACAATGACCATGCTCAGAGAGAAATAGCTGAGTTTTTAAATTTCTCTTGGAGGGTTGGGTCCAGAAGGAACTTTAGAGGTTATATAAAGCAACACGCTCGTTTTACTAATAGGAAACTGAGGTCTAGAAAGGAGAAGTGCTTTATTTACCTCCCCAACTTTCCCACCCCAAGAGAGTGTCAAAATGAATGTATGCATCCAGGCTGCTGAGATCTTTAGCAGCTTGATTGGTCACCCAAAGACCAATAATTTGAAATGGAAGATTTGGGTAAAGGGAGGGAGTCTAGGAGTGAAGAAATCTGTGTTCTGATCCTAGATCTGCTGGTAACAAATGCTGAGGTAGTCCACGATCACTTAACTTTTCTGGGTCTTGTCCATGACGTGAGGTTGACTTTAATGCCACTAAAGTGTCGATTACCTACTATTCCATGAGGCCTTAGCTCTAGGTGTCGGAGTCACTGCCAAGTTTTAAACTGAGTTCCCAGGTTTCCCTGAGTCCCAGGACTCTGCCTTGCGTCTTCCAGAACATCAAGACTCTGCTCGCTCACATTCAGCCCAGAGGCAGGAATCTCTGCCTTACAAGCTCAGAGACAGGAAGTGGGGAGGGTGGTAGTTCATGGGGGTGACACACATCTATTTAGGTATAAATGGTACCCTGACATGCATGGAGGTTTATTTATGAAAATTATGTATTTTAAAATTTCAGATATAATGCTACTAGTTCTGAAAAGGTAAGAGAAGGTTGGGGAAGAAAAACAAAGATAACATGGGGTCTCTCGTCCAGCTCAAAGTTATTTCTGTCTTTTAGATGGAAGTCAATTTCACCATAAGACATATCAATAGTGAGCAAACATACAACCTCACAGGCTTGCAGGCTTCGACGGAGTATGTCGTAACTCTGCAGTGTGCAGCTAACGAGTCACAGTTGTGGAGTGGCTGGAGCCAAGAAAAAATGGGAACAACTGAAGAAGAAGGTAAGCTGGTCCCTTGTAATTCCTTTTCTGCCTGCTCTGGTTTAGGGCCTGGGCCTGGCCTTTGTGGGTTTTGTCAAGTGCAGTAACTGGGAATTGTGGAATCCCACAACCCTAGAGCTTGGAGTGTCTGTCCATTCCCTCTCCTCAGGGCCCTCACTGGGCCACCTGAGCCCATAGGATAAGCTAGCCCTCCTCTGATGGTGTTAGTTGTGGCATCAGCTTTTTGCCCCAAAGGCAAAAGATCACATCTTTAGTATTCTGAATAAGTTCTTATACTATACATGAAGCTGTAAAATATTTAAAGATATCCTATGATAAATCAAAGTATATATTGTAAACCCTGGAGCTATTACTAAAAAAGTAAATAAAGGTATAACTAATGAGAAACCAAAAGTCTCACCTTTAATGATAGCAAGGGAAGGAAAGAGAAAGGGACCACACTGATTGAGGTATGGTAACTAGGAACAGTACTTCGAATCTGTGAGCTTGGCTTAAATCCCAGCCTGGCTGTGGATGACTTTGGGAAAGATACCTAATCTTTAAGCCTCAGTTTCTAAAGTATTTATTTCCCTTTCCTATAATGGAATATAATTTGTAAAATTGAGTTAATAGTAGTACTTTGTAGTGTTATTTTAAAGATTAAACGAAATAATGTGTTTGACCCAATAACATTCAGTAAACACTGGATTTCCTATTATTATTTTAAATTCTCCTAAGAGCCCTATAAAATATGTAGAATCACCCCCATTTAGAATTGAAGGAGTTGTATTTTAGAGATGTTAATAAATTGCCCAGGGTCACTCAGAGTGTGTTGCTGTTCTCTGTAAATCAAGAGCCTTGCCCAGTGCCTGACCCCCATTAGATGATCAACAGATGCTTGACGAATATGTGAGTTTTCTATGGCTGCTGTAACAAATTACCACAAATTTAGTGGCTTAAAGCAACACAGATTGTTTTCTCTGATAGTTCTGGAAGTCAGAAATCCAAAATGAGTTTCACTGGACTAAGGTCAATGTGTCAGCAGGGTTGTTTCCTTTTGGAGACTCTGAGGGAAGAACTTGTTTGTTTGTTTGCTTGCTTGTTTGTTGCCTTCTCCAGATTCTAGTGACTGCCTGTATTTCTTGGTTTGTGGCCCTTCTTCCATCTACAAAACATATCACTCTAATCTCTGCTTCCATCATCACATTACCTCTTCTCCTTTCTGTCAAATCTTTCTGCCTTCCTATTATAAAGACCTTTGTGAAAACATTTAAGGACCATCTGGATAATCCAAAATAATCTCCTTGCCTCAAGATCCTAACTTAATCATACCTGCAAAATCCCTTTGGCCATATAAGGCAACATTTACAGTTCCAGGGATTAGGACTTAGATCTTTGGGGTTCATTTTTCAGCCTAACACAATGAACTAATTAGATGAATTAGATGAATACTTGGTGACGTCTACACATTTTCTTCTGAAACATGGAAAAGAAATGCAAAAATACTGACCCTTCTAACCTTCTGAGTTTTTAACCTTATTTGTTTGTAAGACATGTGGTTTTTTAGACAATGAATTTCCCCTGACCCCACCCCTGGCCACAATTTCAGGACCTTATTATTCAGTCTTATAGCTAAGACCGACATTGGTCTCAGGTAACATCTGGGGTCAATTTCTTTGCTCCCTCATCCATATGATAACAGTTTATTCCTCTGGATCCTGGTTGAATTTCCCACGAAGCCAGGTTGGGATTAACAGATGTTTGGCCCATTTGCCCGTAAGGTTAGATGTCTGGAAACAATCTGGTTCCTTCTGAATTTTGAATCCCCCACTGGAGATGTTCATGCTTAGTCTGGACTACCCCTGGGTGGATGTGGTTACACAACAAAGATTCATGCAACACATGGGGAATTGCACTAGATGGCCTATGAAGGCCCTTTTCACCTAAGGTAACATTCTTCTGTGCCATTCAGGCATCCAATCTCTATGGCAGGCTGTGGCCATACAGGAAAAAGTCATAGACACTTCCAAGTCATTATGTGTTCAGGTGCTTAAAACAATGTCTTACAAGTGGTAAGGGCTATATAAATTTTAAATAAATAAAAATACATGAGTGGTTGAAACAAAATTAGTCAAGTTGTGGATCTAATGTAAACTTTTCATTAAAAGTTTATACAATACTTGGGAACACACTTACATTCTACAGACATCATCTCAAAGTGCCCAGTGAATACAAATACAATAGTTTATAAATATCAAACAACACATAAATTGCACAGAAAAGAAATGGTCCAAAGGTTATAAACTATTAGACTAGTCAGTTGTTGTTGTCTGTGTCTTTGCTGAGCCCATCCTTTTAAACTATTAGAATGAAACACATGAGTATTGTTGAGCAAATTGTCTTCTCCCGTTATCACACCTTTCGGAAAGCAATCTGGGAGATTAAGTTCCATCTGGGGTGTGATCTTGTTTTGCACAGCTCTTCTCCTCCCTGTAGCTGTCACTCTTCTCCCCAGTGACCTACTGGTGCCACCATGGGTCAGCATCTTAAGTTAGCTCATCATTGTCCAGCCACTTTGCAATGTCAATTTCATCCACTTGTTTTGCTGCCAGAAACAATACTTACCATTTCAGCTGATTTATTATTTCAACTAGCTTGGCTAAGATTAATTAGCAAAACACTAGATGCTGGTGTTCTCTGTGTCCTTTGCTAATTAAATCAAATCGAGACTCATATATCATAGTCACCAGTAGAGAACTTACACTTTTATTTTTCTTCATTTTTTTCAGGATCCCAGGGGAAATTGATGAAAAATGTACCCCTCCACTCTCAAAAAATCCTAATTTCTCCTTTTCTAATTCACAAACTATTTGTTTCCCTATTTCACAATGAAATCCCAGTTGTTTAATACATACCACCTCAAACCTTTTCTAACTGTTTGAAAATTTCTATTCTAAGTTTAATGTGGAGCATTGTCTATGTTATTTTGGATATCAACATATTGTTTATTAGGGTTATTTACCCACATTTAAGCATGACACAAACATAATCATATTCAAATCCTGGCTTTATTACTTAAAAACATATGATATTGGGCAGTTGCTTCACTTCTCTGTGCTTCAGAAATGAAGATAATAACATTGGTATTCCTAATTATAGGGCTGGGGAGATTAAATGAGATAATTCAGGTATACTGATTAGGACAGTGACACTTGCTAAAAGCTAGCTATTCTTATTGTTGGTCTTCAGCAAGGGTACCAATATGTGTCTGAGGTTTCTGACTGGTGACTGTTGTGGGGATTCCCAGATTGTAATAGAAATAACATAGCATCAAATTGTTACTATATTGGTCCAAACAATTGATGCCTTTGAATACATAGGTTTTTTGGCAGATTTGGAAAATGTTACTTTTGTTTTTTCACAAATAAAGAATGATTACTTTTTTCCCTTTGATTAAACTGTAAATCCATGATTAACTCATGGTTAATGAAAAATTGGCTGTAATAATTGTAGAAGACTTACATGCTAGTGAGGCAGTGGTTTTACTAAGAGCTGCATTGGGGGAAGTCTATATTGGGAAGACTGTCTTTGGACCATATCTGCAAGTAATAGTGGCCTTATAAAAAAAAACCCAAAAAATGGTTAAATTCATTCATCATCACCATCTACCAAAGCTAAATGGCTGCCTATGGAATAAATCTAAGGAGAATTTCACTCATATTTCTAATCAAGTGACTGGAATGATTAATTATTTAATAATCAGTTTAGTTTTGCCTCTATTCTTCAGATGAATCTTTGGGACTGGGTTGTAATAAACACTTTGCCTTTGGATTTTTTTTCCTTGCTCTCAATATTATTATCCCTGAGTCTCACTTCCACATAACTGGAACAGAGAGACTCTGCAAGTAAGAGATGGAGTGAGAGTCCTTCCAATTCTGTGGGTTACCTTTGAGGGTCTAGTGACTATAACCTTGTATAAAAGCTGCCTTCTGGGAGGAACTCGGGCTCTGCTTATATCTCATTGGCTTGTAGACAAGCTAAAACCAGCCCGTTACTCCCTCCCTGCCTGACAAAGTTGGGTACTGACTGTCCTTTCTTCTGATTAAATAAAGACCTTTGGGGAATCAGAAAGCTCCTGGAAGAGCTTGTAAGAACATTTCAAGTGGAACACAGATGAAGTCATATGTTAAGTCTAAACAGTTCCAATTTACTTACATGGAATTAAAATAGATCTAATTGGAAGACTCAGGGCCTAACAGTTAGACTGTGTTACCCACACTTTGTTTTCTTCAAGAGATGTTGTAGAGTGTGACTCTCCATTGACAAGACAGGTTTTTATTTAATTTCCTGTTGGCACATTTTTCTAGATTATGAAATTGTTTTTAGTTGGAGTTCAGTAATTTCACTTTAAGACACTCTATCACCACAAGTTAAAAAGATCTCTGAAAATAATCTCTCAGTACTAAAAGAGTTTAGACCCCATTCTTTGCAGATCTAATTGCATTATCTTCAGCCATGTGGTTTCCTCAAGAAAAGATTCAGAGTGCATCAGCACAGCTTCAGTTAGACATTTCCTCACTTCTCCAAATTTCAGGCCACTAGACTTCTGGACAGTTCTTTAGAACTTTCTATGCTTTCCTCTCATGGCTAAAGAGTGTGGGTCATTCTTTCATCAAAAGCTTAGCATTTTGAAATTTTAGGTGTATGTCAGAGCATGGAACTATAAATTTTGAGTAACCCACTCCTCACCAAAACTTGCTTGAGGCAAGAGATATAGGAGATATAGTCCAGAGATCAAATGAAATGTAAATTCTGCTTATTTTTGTAAGTTTTATCCTGTGTTGTTAGATCACCAGAAGCTAACACTTGAATTATGTTGTCTTAAATTATGTTGTTCACTGGAGAAATGCATAAATTGAGTTCAATATAATTCCCTTGCATTTTGAATGTACACATGCCATATTTCTGTACTTTTGTTCAATTGTGATTGCACACATCAGTCTTTATGTTACCCTGTGTCTTTTTTGAGAGGATCCACTTATAAATTCTGTTTATGAATTCAAGGCCCATAGCCAGAAAATATTTGCCTCTTCATATGAATTCTGTGTTTTATTTTTATCAGGCCATGAAAAATATACAACTCACTGTGATTCATTTTCACTTTTCCTGCCAGGAAGATCAGCATTAAATTTAGAGCTCAGAGAGGGATGTAGTACAGATTATATCTCTGCTCCTTTTCGTCTTTAATTTTTTCTTATATTTTATAACATTGTGAGTATGCAGTTTCATGCTTTTGGAGAGTAGATATGGTATACAAATAATATAGTCATTTCCAGCTTTAATGTATGTAGATAGTATATCTTAGAGGACATGAGATGTCACATTATCCAGATTGAGTGATAAATTCTATTACAATGGGGTGTGTTGTACTTTTTTTTTTTAACCTTACATTAAGTCATCAGACCCAAGGGCTGTTTTATTTTTTATCTTTGGTTGATTTAAAAGTGGTCATTGCCATGCTGCCATCCCGCTGCTCTCTACCTTGCTCCTGCTGGATCCCTGAAGCAATTCTTCCCAACTGCATTTTCTAAAAAGGTAGCCCAGTTAATTTTCGCCATCCCCTGTTGCAGCTCCCTGCTGTCTGAGTTGAGCGCCTCACTCTTGTTCCTTACAGCTCCACTTAGCCCGGATCTGTGGAGAGTCCTGAGACCAGCCATGGTGGATGGGAGAAGGCCAGTAAAGCTGTTGTGGAAGGTAACCTCACTCTGGGTTATTTATTTGTTTGTTTGTTTGTTTTTTGTTGAAACCCCTTGGTCTCTTACACCTCAAAGAACTGTGATTCTTGAACTTTAACCTCCTAAATTTCCTTCCCAAGAGGCTTTATAATGCCCCAAATCTCACAATGGTTTCCCTGCTCACAAAGCCTTATGGGTTATCTTATAGATGGCCTGAATGTGCATTAAAGACCATGGCCCCCATATTCTTTGGTCTGAAACATTAACACTTAGGACAGGTACAAAGTGCAAGTGCAGGAGGCACCTTGACCTTCTGGTGAAAACCATGACTGGCTGGCCTCCACCAGAAGGCAATGTAAAATTCTAAAGCCCACATCCTACAGTGGAGAAGAGCACTGACTTGGGGTCAGCTCACCCATGTGTCCTCAGGTCACAACAGACATATATTGCACATGTACCCTTTTAAGTACTGGTATAGTGGGGTGCAAGGACAGACCAGGTCCTTCCTAGGATGGAGTCCTGGAAGTGCAGAACAAAGGAGAAGTCAGGTGGGTAATACAGAGAAGAGGAGGAAGGAGGAGGAGGTGAGAGAAGAAGGTTAGGGAAAAGGACAGAAAAGGAGAAGGGAGAGAGAATAAATAGGAAAGGAAAAGGGCAAATAAAGAAGAAAAAAACAGCCAGGAAATTAGAGAGAAAAGATGGAGTTGAGGGGAAGAAAGGGAGGAAAGCAGTGAGATGCCAAAACTCTTTAGTATGTTTCCACAATTCTCAGCAAATATTTATCATGTCATCTGATACTTGCTAAAGTCCAGGCAAGTTTAAAACCCTTTTGAAAATGGAGAATTCACCCTGCTTTGCCAAATGACATTCCAATCCCATGTACTTCAGTGTTGGAACGTCCTTCAAACTTTTTCCTTCCCCTTCACCCCACTCCCCTCCGCCATCACCACCCAGGGCTGTGGGACACCCTCCAGTTGCAGAGGCAGCAGACAAGGGAAAGCACAGTCAGGGTGTCAACAAATTTAGGGGGAAAGAAAGCAAACAATTGCACATACCCACGTGAGGCCAGCCACATTGCAGCGGGTCAGGAGGACCACCTGTGAAGTCGATGACATGAACTTCAGTGCCTCCTCCTTTTTCCCTCACCTGGGAACTGGTCTTCCTTTGGTCTCAATAGGAGAGTTTTCTAAGAATTAGAGTTGGTTAAAAAAGAATGAACTAATATTAGAGAGTGGTGATGATGGCACAACTCTGTGAATATTCTAAAAGCCGCTGAATTGAACACTTTAATTCAGTGAATTGTATGGTGTGTGAATTATATCTCAATAAAGCTGTTATTTAAAAAAGGGAATGAGGGCCGGCCGAGTGGCTCAGCTGGGTAAGAGCTCGCTTGGGACGCCAGCTCTGAGCAGCAGGGCCCCGGTTCAGATCCCACATTAGGGCCAGTGATGCTACGCCCTCTACAGCTAAGATGGTGAACAACAGCTCAACCTGGAGCTGGGCTGCTGTGAGTTGCCAGCGGCGATGGCTAGGCTGCAGCAGGGCTGCAGTGGGCTGCCATGAACTACGTGAGTGGCTGGCAGCCAGCATGAGCGGCCGGCAGCTGGTGTGAGCGGCTGGCAGCCAGCGAGAGCTGCCGACCAATGACCGGCAACCCATCTGCCTCACCCTGGAAGAGCGCAATGATCCTACCAACATGGGCCAGTGAAGTAAGGTCCTCCACAACTAGACTGAAGAACAAAACAGCAATTTGTCTACCTGTCTGTTCCCCTTCCCCGATTCCCCAACACTGTTCCCCTCTCCCAATTCCCCAATAAAATCTTTAAAAAACAAACAAACAAATAAATAAACAAATAAGGGAATGAGTGTCTTAAGAGAAAAAAGGCTCTTCTGACTGTCATGGGGGCTGTAAAGGAAATTCCCAAACTGGGAGCGTAATGGGACAAAGTGACTTCTAAAGTCCTATCTGGCCTGACATTCAGTCATTCTGCTCCTTCTATGTGTGTAATTCAGAACGTGAACAACTGGGAAGTCCTATAATTCCTGGGAAATACTCAGCATCCTGATCCCAATGTAAAACATATGGTTAGTGGTCTTAAGTTCAAGGCCGAAGAGTTTGGCTTGGAGTTTCTAGGGTCACCTTAGGCTTCTCCTCAAGGGTTTAGGACTGATAGGGCAGCCCTGAATGTTCTAGTCCTCTTAGCTGGGATGACTGGGGTACCTGGGTCAGGGAAGCGAGCTCTCCTTTCTGGAGCAGAGTTGTGGAGATAAAAGGCAAGGGCACAGTTACTCTCCAACCCTTGGAGGCTTCCAGGCTAGGGGTAACCCAGGGCCAGAACAGACTTGGGATTGGCTGGGAGGGAATGCCTCAACATTTAACTTATATTCTTCTGCCCACGTGGGATAAAGAGAAAGATACAGCCAAAAGGAAATGGAGGTGGCTTGCTTATATTGGCTCAGGCATTCTCCTAGTTCAGCCTCATGGAATTAGACTTAGGTTAAGGGTTGATACCAAGGGACCATTTAGCAAATTCCCTCTTCTGGCGCTTGAAGGTTTAATGTCACAGCAGAGGGTCTGTTATTCATCCCAGGAGGGTAATTGCCTGGTTGTAGTTTAGCAGCTAATGGTTAACATTACCCACACACCCCTCCACACCACTTATCACCCTCTCAATGCCTTTCTTTTTTTGTTTTTGGCAATAAATTCTGTTTCCTTTTGTGTTTAGAAGGCTAAAGGAGCCCCAGTCCTAGAAAAGACACTTGGCTACAACATATGGTACTTTCCAGAAAATAACACTAACCTCACAGTGACAGTGAACACCACTAACCAGCAGCTTGAATTGTATCTGGAAGACAAGACCTATTGGGTGTCTGTGATTTCTTATAATTCTCTTGGAGAGTCTCCAGTGGCCACCTTGAGGATTCCGGCTATTGATGAAAAGTGTGAGTACAGTGTCAACTTCTTACTTAGATGTCTAGCCCCACCCAGTTGGCCAAGGAGTACTCCATATCCTCTCAAGGGTTGCTGTTTCACTTGAATTCAAATGAAACTGTAGTAGACACTCTTTAGGTTCTGGTGGGAAGAGCAAATCTTCTGGTAATTAATGAGCCCTTTGAAGTAAAGTGCCTGTGTGGAAAATCAGACTTCATAAATCATTTGATACGTAAGCCTAGAAATTCTATGTGCAGCTTCTGTTTGTTTTGGTCTAACTTAGTGGTTGTCAACCTTCCTAATGCTGCGACCCCTTAATACAGTTCCTGGTGTTGTGGTGACGCCCAACCATAAAATTATTTTCGTTGCTACTCCATAACTGTAATTTTGCTACTGTTATGAATCATAAATATCTTTTTGTTTTCCTATGGTCTTAGGCAACCCCTGTGAAAAGGTCGTTCAATCCCCAAAGGGGTCACAACCCACAGGTTGAGAACCGCTAGTCTAAGTGAATGTAAGCTGGGTTGAGCTTTATACAACTGTCAGATCTGCCACATTTGTTCTCAGTGATTGAAACCTCTCTTTTGAAATCTCCCTCACAATATTGACCACATCCCAGCCTTGGTTTGCTCAATCTCCCTTTTTTTTTTGCTCACTCTCCTCTTTTCTTCCTTTTCCTCCTTCCATTTGACTATCAAGTTAGGAAAAGTCCTAATGTCTATACTTGACAATAAATTGCTCATTATACTTTTGATTAAGTAGTCTTTAACATTTTACTGCTCCCAGGCAGACTCATACCCTATATCTTGTTTTGGAATAAAATACCTTCTTTGATTTTTATTCAAGGAACTGCAAGCAATAGATTTCCTCTTCCCTGCTTTATTTTTCTTTATAAATCTTACCATTCCTCATTCTATAGATTTTCTCATTTATTTTGTTTATGAACAATCTCTCAACAGGGTGCAAGTTCTAAGGGCAGAGATTTCTGCATGTTTTTCTCTTCTTTTCCTCCTTCTCCTTCCTCTCTTCCTCCTTCATTTCCAATACTTAAAATCGGCATAGAGCAGTTGCCTAGAAAAGGCACTCAGTAACTTTTATTGAAATGCACCATAGGTAAGGAATGCACCCTCCAATTTGCTACCTTTCTCTTTTGCTGAGACCTAGACTGGTTCAGGCATTTACACTGCTGGCTAGACTTGTCTGCCTATGTTCCCTTTTTTCTCTTTTCCTTAAACTTAACCATTTCTTCCCTTGCCTCATTTTAAAACTCCTAGGTATACATATTTTGTGTTACTTGGTATTATTTTAGTTGATATTTAATAGTATTCCGCACAGTCCTTAGTTCCTGCCTACTCAACATCCCTAGTTCTGAAGTTTCTGACAAATGCATGTATCATTTAAGACATATCCATTGTTAATAGAGTTGCTGCTGGTTAGTAATCTCAGTTTCCTGGTGTAGCCCTGGAGTGGGAGGCAGTGAAGAGTAAAGGCTAAAAACATGGCCGTTGAAGTCCAACAGCCCTGGATTCAAATCTTTGCTCTTTCACTAGATACATAAACCTTGGGCAAGTTATCTAACCTCTCTAAACCTTAGCTACTTGTGAAATGGGGCTATTATATAGTAACACCTACTTGACAGAGCTGTTGTGAAGATGAAATGAGATTGCGTATGTAAAATGCTTTGTCTAGAGCTAATTATTATGATTGTCATTCTTAATAAAATTTCTGATTGATTAAATTTCTATTAGACATGGATTATCAACTTTAAAAATACTATAAAGTATACTCTAACTAAAATTATGCTGAAGTCACATAGGATTTTTGTTTGTTTTTTCCAATTCTGAAGGCACTTGCTATGTGTCAGAAGCATCAGTGCGATCACCAGTTATAATGGTCCCAGACCAGGTGCAGGCAAGCTGCAGCCTGTGGGCCAAACCTGGCCCAACACCTGTTTTTATAAATAAATTTTTATTGGTACATAACCACATCTATTTGTTTACATATCATCTATGTCTCCTTCTGTGAAACAATGGCAGACTTGTTGTGACGGAGACCATTTGGCCTGCAAAAGCTAAAATATTTACTATTTGGCTCTTTACAGAGAAAGTTTATAGAACCCTATTCTAGACATGTAATAAAGTAATGTTTTATAGAATTTTGTTTAATAAAGTGGCGTCAACTAGAGAATAGTTATAATAATTATTGTAAGTATAACAATCATTAAGTCAGTATAATAAACACATATTGTCCATTAGTATATGTCACACATTGTGCTAAGAAGACATAGGTTAATCTAATGTTAGCCTTGAAATGACCCATGAAGTAGATGCTACTAGATCCAATTTATAGATGATGAAGAAATTCAGGGAAGCTTAGTAACTGGCCCAAGGCCTCTCAGGTGGAATTCAAGCCCAGGCCTATATGGTTCCAAATGTATACAATATAATTTATCCTAAAGCTTGGACTTGATATTAGTAAAGTGACTTATAATTCTGGTCACAGATGCTGTGTGATGCTGAACTGTTACTTAGTTCTGTTGGCCTCCATTTTCCCATCTTTAAAATTAAGGAATGGAATAGATACCCCTTCCGGTTCCTTCTGGCCTGCACATCCTCTGAGTTCTAGGAGACCTGAGTCAACATGCAGCTGCGAAGTGGTCTGAGGTGGGGCCTAGAAGCACAAGGCCACTTGTGTGGTGAGAGGGTGGGGAGATCATGGGGACTGAAAAATGGCATAGCGTTGAGATTGGCCCAGGAGAGCTGGCAAAGGTGAGGCACTACCTGAGAGCTCTGTTTGATCAGCCCAGAGTGACTGCCTTCATCAAGCCACAAGAAATTAAACGTGTTCATCATCAAAACATTTTCCCCAGGAAGGATCTGTATTTCCTACCACCCCTGGGGTGTGTTGTATTTTGGGAAACTGCTCCAAAAGTTCTTGTTGAGTGATGGAAGGATCCATCAATTAGTTTATGTTAAGTCCAATGTTGATTTGGAAACTCCTCTTTCAGCACTCTTTAATGCTGCCTAGGCCCTTTTGTCTTTCAAGGTTGATCATGGCTTAATTGAACCATTTCTGCCATCCTGGTGGTTCAGCGTCTGGGCTTGTTCCCGCAGTCACTGCAGCACATCTGGCTCTTTCAGCCCGACTCCTGCTCCTCAGAGCGCCAGTGTTGGTAAAGGAAAGGAGTGTGAGCTTAGAAACCAACACTCACTCTGGTCTTTGGGCCAGGGTTTGTGTGCAAGTAATGTATTAAGAAAGTTTCTCCAGGGAAACCAGAAAAGTAAGCAGAGGAAGCAAAGCCAGGGAAGGGGAGGAGGCCAAGCCAAAGATGCTGTTTGATTTTCCCAGGGCTGCCCAACAAAGCACCACAGACTGGGTGGCTTCAAAAACCAGAAATGTATTGTCCCATCATTCTGGAGATAAGAAGTCTGAAATCAAGGTGTTGGCAGGGACATGATGCCTCAAAAGCCTTTAGGGGAGGATCCTTTCTTTTCTTTCTTCTTCAAGCTTCTGGAAGCCCCATACATTCTTTGTGGCAGCATGACTCCAACCCCTTGCCTAGGTCTTCACATGGACAGCTTCCTGCTTGGCTCTCTGTGTCCAAATTCTACTTTTCTTATAAGGATACCAATCATATTGGTTTAAGGGCCCAGTCATATTGGTTTAAGGGCCACCATCCTAACTACTTATATCTTCAATGACCTGATTTCCAAATAAGGTCACATTCTGTGGTATTGAGGAGGTCTTTTGTGTGTGTGTGTGTGTGTGTGTGTGTGTGTGTGTGTGTGTGTGGCGGGGGGGGGGTGTACAATTCAACCCATAACAGGTATGATATGTGATAAAAGTCCTGGGGACGGTGGTTCCAGCCTGACACTGCACGGGGACTCTGGAGTATGTCACATCTCAGAGTTATCCCAATCAAGCAAAACACACAAAAACAGTACGGAGAGATCTGAGAGGCTCCGTGAGCACTAACATTACCTGTTACAAGAAGCTAGGTAGGGTTCCCAGTGCTCCAATGGAGGCTCTCAGCCTGTCTGGAATGGAAACTGAGGATGCTTAGAGGCTGTTAGCAGCGGTGGGCAGGAAGCAGGAAGGAGGAGCCCCAGGGATTAGGTGGGGGGACTTCCTGGCTCTGTGCTCCTGCCCCTACTCCAAATCCACATTTCCTTCGTGCCTCAGTTGCTCTTCCTCAGAGCTACCCTGGGAGGTTGACAAATTACCTGGCCTTGCTTCTAGGACTAGCAGCTGGAGTGTCTCATAAAGGCCCACTTTGGGAAAAGGATCCATAAATTGTGTCCTTCAAGAGCAGAGATGCCTATATATGCACACGGCCTGCTGGGGCTTGTTGCCTAGAAACAGCAGGATTCGGTACCACCAGCCCCCACACCAAATCCTTACACTTGGCCAAGGCGCCCAGCTTCAAAAGGCTTCTGGGGGTTTTTTGAGGGACACCATCTCCTCTTTTGCCCTCATCCAGGACTGTCTCTAATGTTTATTTAAATGTATATTTTTTGCGAAGGCTCAGGTGTGTTGTGGGTGTAAGGAGTGGAGGAGAGGGAAGAGCCAGACCTCCGGTCTTCTGCGCACCATCGCTTTGTGCCCCCCTTCTCTGCCTAACTGCACCTCCTAATAGTTCTCTCCTCTTTGGTATATTCAGAACATTTTCAGTGAGATAGATCTCTAATTCTGATTAACTCTCAGATTAGATTCAAAACCAAGTGTTGAACTTTCTATTAAAGGAACCCTTGAGACCTGTTTCTGGACATGAGTTTTCTGCTAGGTGGTCAGAAAATGTTGTCATTTGTATATTGGTCCATACCTAGGTGCTTTAGATGGGTGTGTCTATACCTTTGTGGTACAGACACAATTTTTACTGCCTTGTGAATAGGAATCCATAGCCAGGTTGTGTAGGGCCAGCCTAGATAGTTGAAATTTGAAGCTCTCTCCCTGGTGTGCTTTTTAGGTCACCATCTTCCAGCTTTCCAGCCACAGAATTACTGGTGCCTGAGATTCTGCCTTTAGAGATTTATTCTTGGTCTCAAGCTTGTTTTCCTTTTGACTTGCAGAGATGCATGTAGAAGGTTAGTCTCTTTAGTCATTAATCTCTAGTGAGATCCTTTTCTGGAAACAGGTATATTTGGGGGAGGTAAGGAAAGATTAAGACGGCACTTAATCATCAAAGATGGGGAGTTAAAAAAAAAAGGATACAATAAAACAGGTGAAAACAGCACCATAAAGGGAGACTACAGTGGAGATCTTGAACTTTGACCTTCTTTGTGATTTGGGCAATGAATGGATGCCAGTGTGGTCGGTGTATTTGGAGGATGAGACGGGTAGTTGTGAAGCAGTCTTTTTCTCTCCTTTCAGCATTTCAGTGCATTGAGGCCATGCAGGCCTGCCTCACTCAAGGCCAGCTAGTGGTGGAGTGGCAAAGCTCCATTCCGGAGGTGGACTCATGGATGGTTGAGTGGTTTTCAGATTTGACCACAGAGCCCTCCACCTTTTCCTGGGAATCTGTGTCTCCGGCCAGGAACTGGACAATCCAGCAAGGTAACCAATGTGGACCGCCCTCCCCTCCCCGTACCCCCTTCCCTCCAAGCTCCTTCTGAGTAGGATTCCATTTCATTTTAATTGGTTTTTAAATCTTTAACTTTGGCTTCGAAGCTGTGAATGTGGTTAATAGCATTTGACAAGCTACGGCAAGCTTAGTGAAGTGACACATTTCTTGGCATTTCCCAGCAATAATGCAAGACAGGAAACCATGGGTATCAGACCAGGTATTTGGCATGTTTCCAGGTGGAAAACACCATTTTGACACCCACCGTCAGAGAACACTTCCCAGATATCTTGATCATGTGGAAAACATCAGATTTGTATTCCATCTGTCCTACCCAGGGGACCCCCTTTAGTTCTGGTTGCCTGTTTCAGAACTAGGTTCCTTTGCCAGGTGATGGATACAGGGAACAGCCTTCTTTTCAAGAAAGTCTCTGATACTTGTAAGACACATGAGTGAGGTTTTATCCCCCCAGTCCTATCAGTCCAACCTTTTTTTAATACTTAACAACATCCATATGAAGAATTACACTCATGCAGGGATGCAGGCAGACAGAAGAGCTAGAATTAATGGTATCTGAGCTCTCTAGAGTGATATACTATTGACGGAAGGATTAAGTTTATTGTGCAGTACCCCCAAGTCATATAACAAAATCAGTGATGGAGAAGGGCCTGGATCCCTTACTTCTCCCTTCCTGGGTGGCTTCTTCATTTCGTCAGATTGGTGCAGGTTTAGTTCTAAGAATTATTTTAAAATGTTAGAACTGGAATAGACATTACAGACCATCCAATCTAAATGCCTTATTTTCCAGATATGGAAATGTAGAGAAATAGAATATCTTCCATAAATCTAAGGTCATAACTCTTAGTCTAGTATTCCTTCTGCATGCCATACTTTGTACTTAATGCTTGCTTTTCTCTCTCTTTCTCTTTTTTTTAACAGATAAATTGAAACCTTTCTGGTGCTATAACATTTCTGTATATCCAATGTTGCGAGACCAAGTGGGCCAGCCATATTCCATCCAGGCTTATGTCAAAGAAGGCAGTATGTATATGGGGCGAAAGAAACATTGGGGCCTGCCCAACAATCAGACAAGGCTGTGAATGCCTATAGCCTTAGCACTCACCCATGCTGCACCTTTAGCATGCAGTAAGCTATGTATGAGTAAGTTGGACACAGTTGTGGTTAGCTTATAGATTTAAATATAGAATTTAAAGTGGGGGTAGACATTAGAGATTGTCAAGTCCAAGCCTCTCATTTCACAAATGGAAAATTGAGGCTTAGAGAGTGAAACAAGTTGCTCAAAATCACAAAGAAACTTAGTGCAAACAGCACTGTAAGCAGAAATAACATTTAGTTTGGACCCTTTAGGGACCTTACAGAGTTAATCATAAGTTGGAGATGCTAAAAAAATTATTTTTAATTGTGTAGCCATAAGCCAGGGTTTTGCTGGTGAGCTTCTCAGATTCCATTTTTATCTTTTTGGGAGTTAATATCTTCCAGATTCAACAGTAGAAAATATATCTTGTCACTCAAAGGTAGTCCATGGAAGCATACTCTTCAACTATTTGATAATAGCTATTACAGGTGTGAATGAAAGAATTGGGTGCTAAGAATGAGAGATCTATAAGAAAGTCCTTTTTCTCTGATCGTGGACACTGCTTCTCTTCCTGTTCAAGATGGATGACTCCAGGAAACAATTTTCCTAGGAGTTGATTCATCAATTCCCAACTCCCCCCACCTCCCACCTCTAACACTGATTTCAGTCTGAGTACTGGCCAGAGCCTTTGTGGGGGGCAGGATCTGCTGGGGCATGATTCAGTGTTTATATTATATTATTTATTTCTCTTTCTGATAAAGTCCCATCAACGGGCCCTGTGGCCAAGGCTGAGAACATTGGTGTGCACACAGTCTCAATCATATGGAAAGAGATTCCCAAAAGACAGAGAAATGGTTTCATCAGCAACTATACCGTATTTTACCAAGCTGAGGATGGAAAGCAATTCTGTAAGTGTGATTACAGCCAAGTTAAAAAAAAAAACCTCCAGAACCCCAAATAGATGCTATGGATAGACCTGCTATAGGGGTGTCTCCCATGGTTCGTGTGCTGCAACCTTGCACGAGTCACTTAGCTTCTTTGAGCCTCTCAGAAAATGGGACCAAGAGCACCTGCCTCTTGAATTTTTTGGAGTCAAATGAGAGTGAAGTGACAGTACCTGAGAGTCCTGTAGGAACTGGAGGAGTTGATATAATTTGTCAGTCTGTGAACAGGTTTGCCTTTGGGGAGCTTGCTGACCATTATGCCAGAGTGGGGCCTGCCTGGATTAAAGAGTGGAGTGGGGACAGACCCATTTGGTGGCACTCACCTCAGTGCAGAACAGGAACCTATACCATGATTCCTACTGCCCACTGCTAAGGCATACTTTTTTCTTGAATCTACAGTATCTCCTGACATCTTAATTTCTGGGCTAGGCTTGGATTCCTGTTTAAGCTATTTTTGTTGTTGTTGTTGTTGTTATGGTAAAATACATATAACATAAAATTTACCATTTTAAGCATTTGAAAGTATATGATTTAGTGGCATTAAGTACATCACGATGTTGTGTAACTATCACCACTGCCTATTTCCACCCCAAATAGAAACCCATCAATTAGTCACTTCCCGTTGCCCAGTTCCCACAGTCCCTGGCAACCACAAAACTGCTTTCTGTCTCTATGGACTTACCAATTCTGGATATTTCATAAATGGAATCATACACTATGTGGCCTTTGTGTCTGGCTTCTTTCACGTATCATAATTTTTTCAAAGTGTATTCATGTTGTAGCATGAATCAGTACTTCATTCCTTTTTATGACTGATTCACATTCTATTGTATAGATATTGCACATGTTGTTTATCCATTCATCAGTTGATGGATATTTGGGTTCTTTCTAACTTTTGGCTACTGTGATTAACGATGTTGTGAATATTGGTGTACAAATATTTGTTTGAGTCCCTGCTTTTAATTCTTTGGGATATACCTAGGAGTGGAATTGCTGGGTCATATGGTATTTCTAGTTTAACTTATTGAGGAACCACCAAACTATTTCCATAGTGGCTACACCATTTTACATTCCCACTAGTGGTGTATGAAAGTTCTAATTTCTCCACATCCTTACTAACACTTGTTATTTTCTATTTAAAAAAAAATTACTATGGCTGTCCTAGTGGGTGCCAAGTGCTGTGTCAATGTGATTTTGATTTGCATTTCCTTAATAACTAATGATGTTGGGCATCTTTGCATGTGTTTGTTGGCCCTTTGTATATATTTTTGGAAAAAAATCTTTTGAATCTCTTTGTGCATTTTAAAATTGGGTTGTTTTTCTTTTGGTTGTTGAGTTATAAGAGTTTTTTTATATATTCTGGATATAAGTTCCTTATCAAATACATAACTTGCATATATTTTTTTCTTCTTCTGTAGGTTGCCTTTTCACTCTCTTGAGAGTGTCTTTTGATGCACAGAAGCTTTTAATTTTAATTAAGTCTAGTTTAATCTATTTTGTTGTTGTTGTTTGCACATTCTGTGTCATGTCTAAGAAACCATTGCCAAAAGGCCATGTAGATTTACCCTGTGTTGTCGTCTAAGAGTTTTATAGTCTTAGCTCTTATATTTAGGTCTTTGATTCATCTTGTTAGGCTAATTTTAAGCATAGGGAGATTGGCGTGTGAGATGGCCAACTTTAGATGTATAGGTTCTAGTGCTCTTATTTCAAACCTGCTAAAGCACAATTTCAGCTGGGCTTGATGGTGGTGTTTGACTTCTGTTTTTCCTTTAGCCAAGACAGTCGACTCCAGCATCCTACAGTATGGCCTGGAGTCCCTGACACGAAAGACCTCTTACACTGTTCATGTCATGGCCAGTACCCATGCTGGGGGAACCAACGGCACCAGGATAAACTTCAAGACATTGTCAATTAGTGAGTATTTCCTTCAAGCTCTGGGTACGTCTCCTTGCCATTTCCCTTAGCCCAGTCAGAGATGCTGCTTGCTGAAGGCAGAGGGAAGCCCAATGGAAGGGCAGTACCTAAGTGAGAAGAGCCACCTGCTCTCTGGCTCACTGACCTTTCTGGAAACATAGGGGTGAGGAGTGAATAGGTAGAGAAGGCAAAGCTGAATTTGAAAGCCCAGTCATTTTGCTTCTTCCTCAGGGGTGGCCCTATATCACCCTGAGGAGGAGGGATGGAGTTAATACCAACTTCACTCTCAGCCCCAAACCAGCACCTGCCACAAGGCTGTCCCTAAGTTCATTGTTACCAGCTTCTGTGTGTCAGAGGTTACTGCACAGCGGGGCCGTGAAGGGAAAACATTGTTTGAACAAGCACCATCATCATTTATGAAGTTTTTAAGCAAAAAAAGTATATAATATCTTCTACTTATTGCTTTTACATTAAAAAGTAGGGAGCAAAAATGGTTTAGTAAATATAACAAAAATGTAAAATACAATGTAGTTTCATATGACGATTATGCGGAATATTCAAGAGGGAAAGAAGATGGAATGAGGAGGGAGATGAGGAAGAAAGTAGGAGAATGGGAGAAACAGAGAAATATGTTAATTTTTTCCTAGACATTGTGTGAAAGAGATTTGATTTTAAAGATATATTAAAACTGTTTTAAGGAATGAACAACCTTTTATATTAAAAGTGAAGGAACATGTCCAAATTTTGCGGTAACAGCTAAAAATAGTCCACTTTAAGTATTCTTGGAAGCCTGTTGCTCATCACATTTTCAAGAGAATAGATATAGCTTTATGATTCTGGAACATGTGAATACAGCGTATGTTTTTATGTAAAAAGCATGTTCTGTTTTTATGGGCTCACATTGCCTTTTTGGAGTTCTTTTTGATGTTGCTCTTTAAAATCTTTCAAAATCATGTTGTATTTTCACACTAAGCACAAATTGCATTGTGCGATGGCATTTTCTCAAAGGGTTAAATAAGGCAAGAACCTGCCTTAGAGCCTAGAAATTTCTTACCCCTGGTCTACAGATTATAGACTTCTCTGCTTTTATCTTTGATCTTCTACAATTTATTCTCCACATAACAGCAAAAGATAAAACTCTAGACCTCCTGCTTACAACCCACCAGTGGCTTCTGTTGTATTTTAAATATCATCTAAACTCCTTCCTATAGCTTTCTGGATCCTTCATCATCTATCCCTTACTGACCTCATCTCCTACCATTTTGTGCTTCTGTTTATGTTCCTTAACTTGTTCCTGCTTCAAGGCTTTTGCATGTGCTGTTTCTTCTACCTGAAATGCTTTCCCCATATTTTTGCGTGATGGTTCCTTCTAATTATGAATATTAGCGCAAATTTCACTTCTCAAAGAAATCTTCCTTCACCGCCCTATCTAATGTTGCTAACCTTCCTCCCACCTTACCTTGGTCACTCCCTATTGCTCTGTTTTACCAGAAACAATCTTATTTTATTTATTGTCTGAATCCTTCTACTAGAATGCAAGCTCCATGAGATCAGGGATCTTATAGTTCTTGCTTATTGCTGTTTGTTTTATTACCCTGAATAGTTTTTGGCAAATCATAAGTGCTCAATAAATATTCACTAAATGAATGAAGTTGGAGGATGAATCTGGTTAACACAATGTCTGTCAATATTGTTCAGGGAGAAAAGAACTGGATGGGGAGCCACAAACACCAAGTTTTTGTTTGTTTGTTTGTTTGTTTGTTTGTTTGTTTTTAATTGAATGAATTGGAAGAAAACTAATAAGGAATGTGTTGCCAAAGCTACTGGAAGAAAAAGTTAATCTTTGATTTTTATCAAAAGAGTGAGGAGCTAAGCCTCCTACTAATACTAAATTCTGTTCTCCTTTTCTCAAAGGTGTCTTTGAGGTTTGTCTTATAATTTCTCTGGTTGGAGGAGGCCTACTTTTTCTCATCATCCTGACGGTGGCATATGGTCTCAAAAAACCCATGTGAGTGTATAGCCCAAGCATGTGCCTTTAAAATTAGGGATGGAAAGGGGCAGGAGGCATCCTGGGTGGAAGAGGGCACACCACCATGAAGGAGGTGTTTGTTCATTTATTATTTGGTACATATTTATTGAGTTTGTTATGTGCCATACCCTGCAGCTCATCAGAATTCTGACCAAACAAGGGGGCTTTCACTCCCCACAGCCCCCCACACAGGCCTTAGTCCTTTGGAGGCCAGGGGAGTGCCAGCTGCCCCATAGGCTTTATCTGCTGGGTTCGGCATCTGAGACTAGAGTTGGGGAGAGAAGGTCTTTTCTCTCAATGTCTAGAGAGGCTTCCTGGCAGTCGCAGGAGGCCTCAAGGCCACAAGCTTCTCTCCCAGGCACAGCAGGGAGCTGAATACCCATGAATTTAGAGTTCTGGCCAGTCATGTGCCCAGTACAGACTTGTTCCTTGCTTGTGGAACAGTTTTGGAAGGCTGGTGACAGGGGCATTTGTCCTGCCTGTCCTGGCCACTTTGGAGATGGAAGCTTGTCTTCAGGGTCTTGTGCTTTCTCTCCCCAGAGAGCCTCATGCTACGTGGATGGTCAAAGGTTCCTTCCGGGTAGACCATTCTCTACAGAGTTGAACAGTTGTGGGCCATCTCTGCCAAGCAGCTGTGCTTAGTTATGGTCAAGCTCATGTCAACCTCGGTTCCCAAATGCAGGTTGTAGCCAAGTCACCAGCACAAATTCTTGTACACTTTGCATGTCTAACAAGCTCCCAGGTGATACTAATGCTGCTGGATAGGACAAAGCCTTGAGAATCATTACTAAAGTGTATATAGCATATAAGGTTTAGAGTACTAGTGTTCCCAGAGAATACATTTCAAAGAAATGGCTCTGTGATGGTATGGCTTCTGGCATCAGGACCAGGTGGGGAGATGCAGGGGTGGGAGAGTGGGAAGGGCAGGAATAGCAGCTTTACGTGTGGAGAGGTCTCTTCCTATCATGTCCCATTGATGACTTGTAATTTCAGCCCCCACCACCACACACACACACACACACACACACACACACACACACACACACACACACACACACCCTATTTTGCTTTCCCGGTTTCAGTCAGGAGGCCAGGGGCTTGCCCTTATTTAATAGAGAGCCACACAATTTTCTTTAGCAAAGCCCCACGCTTTTGGCTCCGCCATATTGTCCAAGCCAGATCCTTCTGGGACTCATTTCTGTTTTAAAATCTAATCTTTTATCAGCAAATTGAAGCATCTGTGTTGGCCTGATGTCCCCAACCCTGCTAAAAGCAGTATAGCCACATGGCATGAAGATGATTTTAAGGTAAACACTGCTGGTTTTGTTGAGGAAATAATCGTGGGAGGTGGACATGGGTGATGGAGGTGGGGAGCAGTGCCGGGCTGAGCTTTGAACAGGGTTCACACAGACAACTCGACAGTAAAACCCCCCAGGAATAGCTGGAACCAGCCTTCTTGGAATGACTTTGACCTCATTTTTTGGACAAGAGGAAAGAGCTCCAACAGATTTAAGAGGACCCAGTGTGTGCTGGGCATGCAACTGGTCCTACAAAGGATGCCATGGAGGAAAGCCACTGGCCCTACCTTATGGGCCTGACTGTCTAGTTACAGAGCTAGAGAGCCCAACTATAAGATTTGAGGCCATTTAAAATACAGCCAAAGCAAGTTAATCTAGAGACCACCTGGAGACTCGGAGGGGACGCTTATGTGCTTGGATGCCCGAAGCCTGGAGAAGGCTGCCTCATTTTGTTTTTCTCAGATTGGGGAAATTTTAATCAAATTTTAAATGGCAATGCATTTTTTTAGTGGATTAATCATTACTAGAAACTTCCTTTTTCATAAGTTTTTAAATTGAAACTGTTCTGAAATTTTTAAGGTTTAGCTTCTTGCTTAAGTAGAAATAAGTCCAATCAAATATAGCTTTTAAATCCTTACTATTGAAATATTGTTGCCAGTATTTCTTTCTTTCTTTTTTTTTTTTTAATTGGGGAATTAGGGGATGAGAACAGTGCTGGGGAATTGGGGGAAGGGGAACAGACAAGTTGCTGTCTTTTTTGTTCTTCAGTCTAGTTGTGGAGGACGTTGTGTTGCCAGTATTTCTTGATGCAGGAATTTTTAATATTAGCTCTGTTTCAATTCAGAAGTCTCTTTTTAACATGACATTTTTATTATTTACTTTAATTTTTGTTATTTTGATTTCTATTTTCTTCTCTCCTTTATCAGTCTTATATTATGCTATCTACTATCCTACTTATTGAAAGTTATTAAAAGGGTAAATGAATTAACAGGAAGCATTGTCTGATGTTTAAAATGCTTTTGGAATAGTCTGTAGGTCTGTCCTCTACAGCGAGCACTTACTAGTCACTTACTATACGTCAGGCACTGGGCTAGGTAGGCTCTGGTGACACAAAGACGACATAGGGCCACCTTTGATTTTCTGGTGATGTTGGGCAAGTCATTTGTCTTTATGATTGTGTTTTTGCCATTTGTAAGAGTTCCAATTTTGATGCTCCCATCTCAACTGGGTTTTTGTGAGTGTACAATCATGTGGAAAATAGCCTTGAGCTCTCTAAAAGAAGAAATTATTTGAGTACAGTGTGTTCTTTCTTAGGAAATGGGCCACTCTTGCCAAGCTCCTATTGAAGGGCACATAGAGAAGATTGGCCACCACTTCTGGTCTCTGGGAGGAATATGGGGGGTTGGTTAACAGGTGGGGCATTGGGCGTCCCAAGCCTAATGAGCTTTTGGTTACATCATATGTAGGTGTCCCTTTCTCTTTTCCAGGATAAGCTAAATCTGAATGAGTTTGATGACTCTCTGAACACAGAAGAAGACAGGATTCTAAAACCATATTCTGCCCCTAAAGACTTTATTGACAGGTTGGTGGTGAACTTTGAGAATTTTCTAGAAGAATTTTCCACAGAGGATTCTGGAAAGGCTAAGGAAAAAATTTTGGGAGGGGAAAAGAATGAATATGTGACCTCCCCCTACAGGCCTTATTATTCCCTCGGGGAGAGTTTCGTGGAACCCTCCATTTCAACCGAGGTTCCTTCCAGAAAATCCCAACATCTGTGTTCTGGAATGCTAGAGGGGACCTTCTCAGAAGCTGAAGAGCAACTCCCTTATTCTGCTCAAAGCTTAGGGCCAGACCATCTCTGTGAGGAAGAAGCACCAAATCCATATTTGAAAAATTTGATGATAACTAGAGAATTGCTCATGTCTGAAGAACTTCCAGACCAAACCAAAAGAGAAGTATAGATGCCACGATGGCTTGAATCCCTCTGTCTCAGTGTGGGTGACTCTTACAGAGACCATGATATCACAACTTGATCAGAAGAGCTTCCTTTGTCTTTTCCCCACCCTGCTTGTGTTAGAGAAAGTCACGCATGCCCCTGAGTGGTTAGTTGAGCTTGGTTGGCAGATATATAACTTGCCTGAGAAGAAGAAGGGATGGTGATAAGCCTGAGTGCTTTGCATAGGAAAAACAGTTTATTTTCTATTGTCCAGATAATAAACTCTCACTTAGGCCTCTGACCGATTAACTTGGAGGGATAGTGGACCCCTGCAGTGGGTGTACCTGGCCCTCCCTATGAATTGGGTCATGATCTCAGCCTTTGCTGGGGCTGCTCCTCAGGTTCCTTGAGAGACTTTCCCCGCTGCCAGAGGACAGTTGTTTAGGTGGCACTTGGCAGTCTGATGGAAGGAGAGAGCCTCTCTCCCTTCACCTTGGCCTCCTCTGAGCTCCCGGACTCCCCCTCTGAGTTAGCCCTGAAATCTTACTTGTGAGATTCTGTTTCTCCCTCAACACAGGGCGGGAAGTGGAGTGGCCTCCCTGACGGTGTGCCTGCAGCTCCTCATTATCCTCATTAAATCTCAAGTGTCGCAGCAGCACCCCCACTCAGGGCCCGTGCCCCTCGTCCATAGCACACTGGCTGCTGGTAAATGCAGGGCTGAGGGAGGGCCTCTGCAGGGTGCTGGGGAATGGACTGTAAACCATGCCAGTCAGTCGGCCCCACTCTCCAGACCACTGCCCAGTTCCCAGAAGCCCTATCTGCCCCTCTATCTTGCACCCAAACCTTGGAGTATAAAGGCACCAAACACAGCAGTGGCTTTCATACTTGAACCTTGTGATGACTCAGAGCCCAGGAATGCTTACTGAACACACCCTTCAAAGGCCTTCGCCCAGAAGCAGCTGAGCAGCACCTGGGAACATGCAATGTTGAGCAAGTTTGCTGCTCCAGCACCAGGATTCCCCTGCCTTTGCCTGAGCTGAGCATAGAGCTTATGACAATCAGTGGAGCCTTTCGCCTAAGTGCTGATGGCAGGAGTCAGCTGCTGAGACCCAGGAACTTAGGACTGGCACTGGGCTTGTACCCTGATGACAGTGGTGTCAGATGACTTCCTAATGCGCATGGCTGTGACTCATCTGGCCATTGTGGGAGGGTGCTGAGAGCCTGATGAGATGGGGAGAGGCTAGGCAATGAGGGATGGCCAAGGTGCCATGCCAGAAAGGCTGATGGTATTTTTTTTCTAGGAGCGTTTGAGAAGTCAGTACTTGTGTAACAGGCATGAACTTCACAGGCCAGCAGCTCTGCTGTGCAAAAACATTGCTTTTTTTCCCCTATGACTAAAATTTCTAGCCCAGGACCCTGACATTTTGAAGTAACTGCAGCCCAATCTGGTGATGGCTGCATCCTGACCACAGGCCAAACAGGTGGGGTTGTTCCCCCAAAGCTCTCTCTCTCCTCATTAAATCGACTGCACCACCCCCATCCCCCATGAATTCTTCACTCCTAGTTTATAGAACAGTGACCTCTGGTAAACCAAGGAAAGAAGGAGCCTGTGGCAGGGCACTGGGGAACTGCCCTTTGTCTTGGGACCAAACAGAAGGTGTACACTGGTTCCCAGCTGTGTTGAGCCCCCGGCCCTGATATCCACCCACATGGTTGGGACTTGGGCACGTCTATGAGCCTCCTGTCCCCCAGAGTCCCAGATGGGTCCTTTCCACTGCTGCTGTTGGATTTGTGAACTTATAGAGAGGCTCTAGCCTTGTGCCCACACTGTTCTGCTCTTTCCTGTTACCCTCTGCCTACCTGCAGCGGAGGGATCGTCTCAAATTCTGTATGAGGTGGGTGGGGAGAGAGGGTACCTGGAATGAGTGCTGATCTTGTCTGTCTCACACTTGGATGAGGCTTTTGAAGCTAAAATCCAAGAATTTGATGACTGGGCAGGGAGAAGGGGTCCCCAATGGCTCCTGTGAGTGGGTTTCAGAGATGAAGCTGTTACCGTCTGCTCCCCTTCCCTTAATCTTTCATTAAAGCCTGCCGAGTCTCATGATGGATGGTTTGCGATTGCCGCCCTCCTGGCCCTCCCTGTTTCATTTCTTCTTCCCTTTTCTCACTTTCCTTCCTGCCTCCTATCTTCTGCTTTCCCCCACCACATCCAGCAGCTTCTCATCTTTTTAACTCTTCTTTTCTTTTCATTGGTTCCCCCCCCCTTCCCATCAGCCTCCTTTGATCATTTTCCATATTTACTTTGCTACCTTTGAGCCCTGAGAAATTGGGGCTCTGTTTTGTTCTAGAGGGTTGGACAGAAGTAGTTTCATAGGAGTCAGCATTTCCTGTCGGTAAGAGGAGCCGTTTTCCCAGGGACCTCAGAAGCTTGTGCTGTGGCCACACGCGGCTGTTCAGAGCAGATTCACAGGACACAGGCCTGAAGGCTCAGAAGTCACTGGTGACCTTCCTTTCCTGGGATCGAGTCAGGAACTGTTCCCATTCCCAGCATCCTGGGTTGTGTCTGTGGCTGGAGAAGGCCATCTGTTCTCTCTCTATTATTGCCAAAGAGCCACTGGGAGGACACAAACAGGAAAACCTGTGCTTTCGCAAGATCATTACAAACTGATAAAATTCCCTGTAAAAGTTTTCTGGGGCTCTGGGAACCATGCAAATAACTACGTGAGTGCCCATTAATGGCCTTTCTTTTACAACAACACCATAACATTTAAAAGAACAGCAGAGAATCCCATCTGTGAGTAAAAAAAACAAACAAACAAAGGTGATACCTTCATTCTGATTTCTCAGCAGGCAGCAGTAAAACAGTAAAAACAGCATGCAGGGGGCTTTTGAAAGAGGCAGGAGATCTGGAGAGGTGAGGAAGGAGAGGCTCCTTTCTCAGCATGGACCCCGTGACCCCTGCTTCTGCCTCCCGCTGTGTGGGGAAAGCCCACACCAGTCTGCTGACCATCTCAAGGGATTCTGTCCCCTTTCCAGCACGTCCCTCCTTACTTCTGTAGGCACTCTCCAGCCCAGGGTTCGGCAAACCGGCTCTTGGGCCAAATCTGGGCCCTGTTTTGTAGCGCCCATGGGCCAAAAAGCAAAATCAAAGAAAGAATAATGTTTAAAGACATGAAAAATTCTATGGAATTCAAATTTCAGTGTCCATAGATGAAGCTTAATTGGAACACAGCCCCCTGTTTACACAGCATCTATCACTGCTGTCCCCCACAAAGGCAGAACTGAGTAGTAGTGACAGAGGGTTTCTCTCCCACAAAGCCCCAAAGGTTCACCATCTGGCCCTTTACCAAAAGAGTTTGCTGTCCCCTGTGTAACCCACAGACACGAAGCGCTTATTGCACGGTGTGGCCCACAAAGTGTTTTAAGTTTGAATGAGCTGCTAATTTCCTATAAAATCAGGCTATATCCTTCTGGATTCCCGACTGAATAGGCACGGCCTCCCTTAGAAGGGCACACGCTCGGATTTCTGCACCCCTCACAGCTTGCTGGCCCCTGCCAGAGCTAAGATGGAGAGTTGGTGGCGCTTCCTTACTTATATCAGTGGGTTTTGATCTGGTGATTTGCCCCCCAACCTCCAACCCTCAGACATTTGACAATGCCTGGAGATCTTTGGGGGAGGGTGCTGCTGGCACCTAGTGGGTGGAAACCAGCAATACTGGTGATCAGCCTACGAGGCACCGAACAGCCCCCCAGACAATGGATTATCTGTCCCAAAATGCCAGTGGTGCCGAGGCTGAGAAATCCTGGCTGAGCTAACCCCTGTCCTGGACCCACAGTGTGTGCCATAGATGGATGGCTCCAGGCATCACTCTTTTTTTGTTATTTATTTATTTTGTAAGTTCAAAGTTTGTTTTGGACTCAACTTTGCAAAACCTTCTAAATAGCAATTACTTATACCATTTTCAATTTATTACAGATATGATCTGTGTGTACCTATATACATTTTGGTCACATTGCAAGTTACATATTGATTCTGTTGTGTTTCACTTATTTCACATATGAAGGTCCCACACATGAACATAGTTCAGAGTGGTAGCATGTTGAATGGCCACTCAGAGCAATGTTGATAAACATTTTTGTACAAAATCTTATTTTCCCATCTTTGTCCTAATTCCTTGGGGCTGTTCCCAAAGGCAGAGTTTCTGGTTCATTATTACCACATATTGCAGTGCCCCCCAAAAGGCTAAACTGATTTTTGCTGTATCACCAGAGATGTCTAAGACATCCTTGGTCCTCTTCCAATGATAATCAGGTATTTACTGCTGTAACTGGAATTAGTTAATTTTTTTGGGTGTAATGAAACTTCATAGTGATCTGTGCTGCTTAAATCATTGTGAAGCTAATCACTGTGTATATTACTCTCTGCATGTCTGCCTGTTGACATTACAGGATCTTCTACCTATAGGCTCCTGGGGGAATTGACAAACCAGCCGCTAGAAGTTAGAGGCACTCAGCAGGACTTTGGAACAATCAGTGACCTTACTCATTTGGTTGAGTATTTAAAATACAGTAATACCTTAGTTTGTGAGTATAATTTGTTCCAGAAACAAACTACTTGTATTGCAAGACATCGCTCATTTACCAAGTTAAAATGTATTAGAAATGTTTGCTCATCTTGCAGAACACTTGCAAATCAATTTACTCACAATCCAAGGTTTTACTGTATGTGGTTTTTGCAGGGCAGTTTAAAAGAGAAATTTCCTATGGATGTACTTTGTTAATTATTTTATGTAAACATTAATTAGCAACAAGGCCTATTTGTAATCAGAGTGTTTGGTGCTCTGTGTCTTGCATGGGGGCAGGAAGAACAGAGCATGACAAAGGCATGACACAAGGTTATCAGCAGCCCTTGTTCCCTTTGCAGCTTTTACCAGACACTGGGGTCAGGAGGGAAAGAGTTTTCTCAGAAGCACAAACAGCCCCTAACTATGTTTGCAAAAACCTTGAGGCCACCTTTACCCTCTG